ACTATTTGTTGAAACTTGAAACCTCTGAAAAGTAATTTTTGTCACACACAGACACACACAGGCAAACACAGTCTCACACAGTTAATTTTAACTCTCTTCTCATACAGAGACACTCCTGTCTCCTTTATTTATTACTAAAAGTTATCTTCACAGGTGCCCTCTGACTACTGACTGCAAAATGTTCAGAGTTACAGTCTAAACTTTCACTCAATGGATTACTTTTTTGTAGTTTCACTGGTAACTTGTCTAGAAGTTGCTCCTTGCTCCAAATCATGAGTTGCCTCACTGGTATTTTTACTAGACACACCAACCACACTGTTGCTCACTGAATCAGTCCTTTGAACCCTAAGCGATATTCAGTATATGAGCATTTTTGGCATACTATCCCTTTCAGTACAGGTGCAATCAGGCCTTATCTCACTCGACTGTTACTTGGCTTCCGGGCTAGAAGCAGCTGCAGCTATTTACTCAAGCTCTAATACTCATATGCCAACCGTGGTATAAACTGTTTGAATGTATTTTTTTTATTTGAATGTCCTCACTTTCCAAAATGTCCTCACTCTGTAGGGTATATGCTTAAATTGGTCCTCACAAAGATATAAGTACAGGAACACACACACACACCAAGAAAATAATCAGACTTCTTCATGATCAAGTATTCTTAAATTACCCCTTTGAATATTTGTCAGTGTGCGTAGTTAACGTGATCATAGCAGGCTCAGGATCAGACTAACAACTCTCCACACGCACACACAGGCACAGTTTTGGGTACAGAGGCAGATGGCAGGGCTGAGGTCGCAGCATCAGTGAGGAACACAGAAATAGCACTCAAGCTATATTTGATCTTTATTAATGGCAACAGGTTGTGTTTGAATACAGATTTAGATGATGTAGACAGACACAGAGTCCCAAGCAGAGAGCGGGAGATGTTAATCAGATTATCTCCCATCATTTTTTTCACAATTTGTACTATTTTGGTGCATTTGCTGATCTAGGACACACTGGAATTACATCCATTTCTTGAAATGAAATTGTTTTCACATGGCATTCATTTCCTTTGTCTTCCTTACTGTGAGTTAATGGTTGCATCCAATATGCATTTATTATTATTACTATTATTATTACATTTAATTATCATTAAATGAATGATGATAGTTTAACAAACATGCACAAAACAGATGCAGCTGAGAGAGTAAATGTAAGATAAATACAAAACGTTCATGCTGTTACTGTACGCAACAGGAAGCTCCAACACTTTCTAAAGCTGCGTTCAGCCCCACCAGCCCCATTTCGTGAGTGTACCCAGTCGCAGTTGACATCATGCTTTGTTTCTCCACAGACCTCATGTTGTTTGTCTCGTTGTCCAAACACTTCTTACTGCACTGCTTTCTCAACACTGCGATTTCTCTGTGGTACTTTTCTCTCTCCTTCTGCAGGTTCTCCTCCAGCCGTCTCTTCAGGCTCTCTTCCTTTGCCGTTTGATGCTCTACCTGCACTGTAATGAGTTTCAGCTCCTGCTTCAGAGCCTCGCATTTCCTTTTCTCCGCTCTCTGATTCTCCATCTGCATGTCCCGTTCTCTCTGGTTCTCTTCCTTCTCGTGCCTGAGCATGTCCTCCATCTGCTTTTTCCTTTCCTCCTCCTTCCTGCTCTGATCCTCCAATCTCTGAATGAGTTTTTCCAGCTCCGTCTGCAGAGCGTCTCTCTTCATCTCCTCCCTCTGCCTGATGGCCTGCTCCTTCTGTATCTGCTGAACCTCCATCTCACGCTCTTTCAGCAGGTTTTCCATTTTGTCTTTTTGCATTTTCTCCTCCATTGCTCTCCTCATCTTCTCCTCCTGCTCAGTGTGCTCCTCCAGCATTTTAGAGGCTTTGTCCAGCTTTTCTTGGAGAGCTTCCCTCTTCCTCTCTTCCTCTCTACGTATCTCCATCACTCTCACCATCTCTTGTATCTTCCTCTCCTTCTCCCTCTTGTTACTCTCCTCTATCTCTCGTCTAAAGTCCTCCTCTCGACCTCTCGCCAGTTTCTCCTCATTCTGCCTCTCCAGCTCCTGTTTTCTCTTCAGCTCCCTTAGCTCCTTCATGTTTTTTTGCTGGACAACCTCCAGCTCTTTTTCATACCACTCTTTCAGCACAGCCTCCTGTTTCTTTTTGAACAGCGCCTCCCTCTCTTCCAGTAGCCTCTGCTCCTGCTGCTGCTCCTGAGCCAGATCCTCCTCAGCTTTTTGGAGACTCTTGCTGGCGTAGTAGCATCCTTCATTCGCCTGCATCATGGTGTCCACTAAGGCAAACAGCTCAGACACCTGCTCCTTGCTCTTGGAGCTTTGGTTGTTGAAGACACAGTACCTGCCTCTGCATTCGGCCACCAGCTCGGCCAGGTCCCTGCACCTGTCTATCAGACACTGCTTCACAGATGTCCCCTCCTCCAGAAGGTCTCCATGGGTAAAAACCACCACAGAGAAAAGCAGAGCCTGAGATCCCATCGCCTGTTTGATCTGCCGCAACGCCTCCTTCTCCTCCTGACTGAACCTCCCAATGTTAATGACGAGGAGGAAGACATGGGGCCCGGGATACAGAAGGCTAATGCTTCTCCTCAACTCCCTCTGCACCTCGTGTGGAGCCTGAGAAGTGTCCAGCAGCCCTGGGGTGTCCAGCAACATCAGGTGTCGCCCACGAAATTCTCCACTGGCCCGGCGACAACGCAGGGTGACAGACGAGCTGCTAACCCTTGATTCGAAGGCCTTACGACCCAAGATGGTGTTGGCCGTGGAGCTTTTTCCGCAGCCGGTCTTCCCAAGCAAAACCAGTCTGATCTCAGTGAAAGAGGGAGAAGGCTTCCTGCCTGAGGAGACAGAAAAACATGAGAATAGATTGGTTTTGTTAGAAAGAAAGAAAGTAGAAAACTGACCTGCACATGTGATGGACGACAGCTGCTTGCTAATAGATGACATATTGTTTCTGTTCTCTGTCCATAAATTGAGAACACATGAGTGTAGCACATCTTTATATAGATCCCAACATTGTGGGTGTGTTGGTCTCTGTGCCTGTGACATGTTCATCCCCTCTGAACTCTAACCATCTCCATCACCATGTTTGTAGTAAATCGGTCTGGTGGAACTCTGGCCCAATAGTCTGTCTCTGTAACACTCAGCACAGGAGGCCTTATCTCTCACTGCACACACTCCAGCTCAGGAGAGGGTTTAAAGGGGTCAGTGTGACCCCTTTAAACAGAGCACCCATACGTTAATCATGTTGCTTTATCTAAGAAAGCTGATATGTTGCTGTTGATCCCCAGGAATCAATAAACAGGTCATTTTCCTGTCAGTGTTGACTGGACAAAATAGACAAATAATCAATGATTGATCTCCTCGGTGAAGAGAATGGTTTTTAAATGATTATAACAATATGTAGGTTATGTCCTCATCTTGACTCTTTGGTGGTGCTCAGAACAACACTGTGCAACATTTTACCTAAAATAACATCTTCACAAATAGTTTGACAGTTCACTGACAGGGAGAATGATGCCACTTTCATTTCCCCAACCCCAACATCTGTTTGAGCTCTGAAGTGAAGATTAATTTAGAAGACACATAAAAACCAGTGTTTCTCTCCTACATATCAGTGTGGAAACAGTTAAAATATAAAGAATTCCAAACAGAGTTGATCAGCTTTGTTTTTTCTTTTGTTAGAAATCATGTGATTGCTCAGACACTGAGCCAAAAAGAAAAAGTCACCACGTGTGGCTGCAGAGGGCGCTGTTGCTCAGTAAATGTTACACTCTGTTGCTTTAACAGATTCTCAAATGTACTGTCATCAGCTCCCTGAGACACAAAATATATGATATGTAAAATCCCCCTTTAAACCTGGAGCGAACTCCGGACTGAGTGTGAAATAGTTGGGGGAAAAAGTGCCTTTCCTCACCACCTTTCTTTGACTTTAAAGGAAAACACCAAGAGTGTCAAGAAAAGATGAATGACAGCTCGTAAGGACTTATGAAAAGACAGTGGTACTTAGAGAACCTGACTACTTAAGAACCTGACTACTTAGAGAACCTGAAAACATATTTACATATGGCACACATTATTTCTGCTTTATTGGGATGACACTCATTTCCTATGAGACGTTTCTTTTGCGATTACAGTTTCATCGATCTCAGCCCAGCAGTGTGGACAGGTGTGGATCTGATTACAAATTCCACTAGATGGAGGCAGAGGTTTGTCCAACTGATTTGACGAGTCAGACGAGGTACTGACAGTTTATACCTTGATGTGGTGATGAGAAGACAAGCAGTCTGGTGTCAGTACTTTGGTGCCACAAGGACTTAGTCATCAAATATTATCACAGCAAACATAAAGTGGATTCCACTTATGTAAAAAATTGTGTTTGTATTGTAATGTATTTAAGCCATGTTAATTCTGCCCTGAAGTTGTTCAGTGAATACATGAGAATATTTACCCGCACCTATTCTTTACTTTTGAATACACCCAGCAGTAAGATTTTATGTACTGGAGTATGATTTCAAACTCAGGACTTCATGAGAGGATTCATCTGTTACTGATTTGTTGTTTAAAAAAAAAATGTATCTATTAATTATAACATTTGGTTTATATAGCTGTCCATGTACTTATTACTTAGACATTCACTGTGTTGTGCAGTAATGTAACTCATATATATTAATTTAGGCTTTTTGGAACGCCTGCTGCAGCATATCTGCCCTCTAGAGGTCATTTCTGAAATTATTAGGAATCCGGGTTCATTCACTCACTTGTATTTTTTTAATCTTCATGGAGGATTTATTTCAAGACTTTTGTATTAAGCTGCATTAGCTATAGCCAGGTGTACAAAATATAGTTGTCTGTATGTCACTAATACTCGATATTCATCTCTCTAAATTAATATATGCAACGGCAATGATTTGTCAGAGAAAGGTAGCAATGAAATTACATTTTATTTGCAAAATGTACATGTACATTATATAAGAAATTAGATTTGTACAACAATGCAAACTACTGTGACAGTAAGTAAGACCTGCTTTAATAACAAGATATCATAGGTTTATGTTTTTTACAGGACAATAAGCAAAGTAAAGTAAGTAAACATTCATCCTTTAAGTCTCAAATTCAAGTATTCACAACTTTCAAGTATTTGAAACTGATCTCTGACATCTAGAACATCACTTTTAAATCAACTTAATAATGGCTTTCACCATGTAATGCTATTCACTGCATTTTGTAACACACATTTGTTTCACGCCTTCACTGACCTGTGAACTATTTTCATCAAACACCAGGTTGTTTTATACATGAAGTCACTCTGCTGCTGCTCTCTCTGTAATGGACTCAAGCATCCTCTGGTTTCTTAAAACGTAATGTAAGTAATGTAACGCCTATAGCTGGATGTTAGCTCATCAATAATGGAGTGTCCATGCATGTCGTGGCCTAGATTGTCTTACTGCTCCACTGCTCTGTGACACATGCAAGCACACCTTAACTAACAGAGAAGCCTTGATGAATTTGTCTTTGTGTGTGCGTGTGTGTGGCTGAATGGATGATTTGTGTGCAGTGACCTCGTCCTCTTTATGTCAAAGTGAAAATACAAACAGTTAACCTGCACAATCACACACACAGATACACAAACACAACACAATACTGACGTATCACATGAAATCTCCTTGTAGACAAGAGGTGACTCTGCAGTAACACTGAGGTCCAAGAGGATGAAAGAGGAGGAGGAAGAGGAGGACGTCAGGAGGCCTTGGCAATGATGAGGATGCTCATGAGGAACACCATGAAGAAGAAGATCCACATGAAAAACCTGTCCATCACCTTGGCAACCTTCTTCCACTCTGCCGCCTTGACACACGTCGCTTTCTGCTCACGGAAGCAGTTGGCGATGTACTGGATGTTCTTCACCACCTGAGGAAGAGTCAGATAGATGATGCACTGAAAGGGGTTTTAGAAGAAAAGTAATCAGATACATGGGTAAAGTGATGATGTACCTGTTTATGTTGGAGGCAGGGGCAGCAGTGGGGACAGGCTGGCACCTGATGCTTCTCTGTGGGATACAGGACGTGCTTCTTCAGCACCCCGTTGAGGTGCTGGAGGTTTCTGGGATGCTGAGGGGCCTCGTAGTCCAGTTCCTCCTGCCTGATGTGGTGGTAGTGTTGCTTGGCCTCTTGCTTTGCCTCACCCCTCTCCAGTCTGGAGGCGTGGTTGTTGTGGTTGTTGTAGTGACGATGATTCCTGCTGTTGGCGCTGCTGTTTGCCTGGTGTTCGTGATGCTTACTGTTATTGTGCACGCTGTGGCCGTTGCTGTACTTGTACACGTCACTGTCGTGGTGGTAGAGGCCATTGTGAAGACAGTCCTCGTGGTGGCAGCCAATATCGGTGAAGGGCTCCTCGGGGTACAGAGGGGTCCGCTCGCTCTCCGGTGTCGTGCAGTTCTCCCCAACCTCGTAGACGAAGAAGATTTTGGACATGTAGTCGATAATGAGCACTTTGGCCCAATGTGGGACTGGCTTGGCCTCAGCACCACAGAAATGAATGTTCATGATGAAGATGGTGAGAGAGGTAGAGGCTGTGATCATGGTCATTGTGGCAATATAATATTTTCCTAAGGAAGAAAACAGGGAAAATTCTATAAGTAAGAATAAGTTCACAGGCAGCTTGCACATAGAAGCTCCTCTATTGAAATCTCAATACGTAAACTTAAAACCTACCTCTTCAGCCCTGCTTTTGACTTAGAATGGTCTTTCAGACATTTTTTGATTTATTTATTTTTGTAATAGTTTACACTCTTTTATCAACTACTTTTATATATTCTATATTCTATATCTCTTTTATCTCAACTTTGATCAACTCTCTTTTATAATTTGTATTCTTATTATTTATTTATTTATTTTTAATTTAATTTAATTTTTTTATTATACCGCTCTTGCCATTATTTTAGTTACTTTTTTATATAAATATCTATCTGAAACTAATTTCCACCAACTCAAAAGTAAAGTAAAGTAAAAATACCAGGCACTAAGTCAACATTGTGAGCTGTTCACTCCACATCATTCGATTCATCTCCACAGGATACACCTGCATGTTTTTGTGTCATGATTCTGCCACAATTCCTGTCTGTCCTGTTTCCCGCCCTCGTGATCACATGTCCTCATGTGTTTCACCTGTGTCCAATAATCCCTCCCCTGTGTATAAAACCTCTGTGTTTCTCTCTGTCTGGTCAGTTTGGTTTGTTTCAGTCCTGTGTGTTACTGCCATGTTTCCCAATTCAATCCCAGTTCATTGTTGTTTTAGTTTATGAAGCTCATGAGTTGTTCTGTCTTCTGTCAGAGATTGTAAGCCTGTTTTATTAGATTCAACTTCACCTTGTTTCCGTGGCTGTATATGAGTCCTCCTTGCTAATCATGACACTTTGGTCTGTGGAGGAAACCGGGAACACAAAACCCATGCAAGCACATGGGGAACTATTAAACTTTCTTACTGTGAGGCGACAGTGATAAATATCAACACTGTGACCTTGTATCTCATTATTCTGATGAACTTTGAGATTTATTCTTTTATTCCTTCCCTAGTGGAAATGCGCTTTTATAGTTATATAATACCAAGTAGTTATTCAAACCTATATAGGGCATGCTTTCTGCAGGAGGCATGCTCTCAGCCACCAGCAGCTGGAACACGGTGAGCGCCAGCAACACAGTGACCCCGAGGGACACCTTCTCCCCGGAGTCGGCGGGCAGGTAGAAGCCCAGCGGGGCAAGAAACGAGATGAGGAAGCAGGGCAGGAGCAGGTTGAAGATGTAGAAAGAAGAGCGGCGCTTCAGCAGCAGGGTGTACGTGATTTCGGTGTAAGGGTCAGAGCAGCAGCCGTACATCATGACGTTTCTAACCGCCGGCATGCCGTGGCACTCCCACTCCACGTTTTCAACAAAGTCAGACAGGTCTCCACTGTCCATGCCCAAACTGATGTCCACCTGTGTAGAGGATATATTGAAAGATGGTACAGACATAAATTTGATAATGTCAAACAGATGTTTCTATGTCAAAATCCTCCAAATGTTACTCATGGGAGAAAAAAACTTAAAAAGTCCTTAATAGCAGGCAAGAAGCTGGTACATGCCCTGTAGTGATATCAAGCCCAAACCCACACTACACCTTCTGTATTAGCAAATTTGAATCCAAATGAAGAACCAAGAAGACAAGACATACAAGAGAAAAACACTCATCAGACAACAAATCTTTCTCTGTGATCCTAAATGGATTCAGTTCATTGAAATGTTGGTTCAGCCAGGGCAACTTTTAACTTCTTCCTCAACCAAAAGATAGAGTAAATAATAATAATAAAAATTCTGAATTTCTAAAGCACTTATCTAAACAAGGTTACAGAGAGATTTACAAAATACATGGGTATAAAAAATACACAGAATAAAACAAGACAAAACTAAACTAAAGATTACATGAAAGAAAACACAAACAACAACATCCATTAAAAACTGTTAAAAATCAGGAATTAAAAGGCTTTCCTATAAAAATATATATATTAAGGACTGAAACCAGCTTTTGGACAATGCTATGGCTATTTCACTGAAAATATAAATGAGCTGCAGAGTGCTGATTAAGCAATTAAAAAAAAGTCATTTAGAGGCCTCATTTTAGGGGGTCAGTAGTTTTGGGGCCTTACCTTGAAGGGTGGTCAATTCACACTCAGTCATGATCCTTGAGGCCTGAGACTGTACAGCATTCTTCATATTAGGCCGTTTTTAACCCGGGAATTTAACATGGTGTGATTTCCTCTCCTTCGCCCCACGTTACCTTGTTTAGACTCACCTGGTTTCCATTGTAGGTCCAGGAGCCGAAGGTGAGGTTACACTGCTGCCAGTCAAAGGGGAAGTAAGAGACGTCCACCACACATGTGCTCTTTGTGATGGCCGGAGAGTCCCAGATGATCTCTCCATTATAACGCAGCTTTACGTTAGTGCTGGATGGGTCTGACGCGTCCTCATCTGCTCTACACACACATCAAGTAAAGAGGACACATTTGTAAATACATTTCTTTCACTTTATTACCTCTGCTATAGTGGTTATGTTTTCACCCCTGTCCATTTGATGGTTGGTTGGTTTGTTTGTAAGCGAAAACTACAGGATGGATTTACCATGAAACTTGGTCAGAATTTTTTTTCACACCCTTTAACATTGCGAAATTGATATCTATGAGTGTGTGAAAGTTGGTCCAGCTTGACTGAATTCAAGGGGACTGTTGGGCCTTGCCAGATGTGTGCGCTCCACTTAGTTCCATTATACTTTCACTTGTTTTCATTCACTCTTTTTCTATACCTCCCTCTCTGTTCTCTTATTTTATTTCCTCTCTTTGTTGCTTATTTGTATATTTGTCTCTCTTGTTACTGACTTGTTGTAGAGGACGATGTCCGGCTTCCAAACCAGGTCGCTGGGGATGTTAATCATCTCCAGGTCGTCATAGTCCTCCTTTTCCCACTTCAGGTAAGCATCGTGCCAGACCTTCCTGATCCACAGGTACGTGGTCAGAACCTGGTTCCTCTCATCCTGCACACACACACAGACAAAAACATTAACAAAGAGAGACAGTGTTCACACAAAAACTTGCAGCTTGTTCCTGAATATTAGAATACAACAATACAAAACAATACACAAGTATTGTAAAGTTGAAACAAGAAGGTACAGAATATATTCATATGGTATATTGTCTTTAGACGTCAAACACAGTAGATACCGTGATAAATAGCCTTCATAGTAAAAGTCTATGTTTTAATAAGGTCTTACTTAAAAAATAGATCTTCCTTCTGTGCCTTATGTCGTAAGAAAGCATGATAGTCAGAGGGGCCCACAGCCAAATTTGTATTAGAGGCCCCAAAGGTCTAGGGCCGGCTCTGATTCTCAACATATGGGAGCATGATAGGAGATTTCTAAGTGTTAAAGGGGAGGAATCTATGTATTCACCATATCTTTGATCTGTGACAGCGTGATCTGCAGCGACACGTTGAGGGCTTTGTCTGTGTCCTCCACAGGTCTCAGAGCGTTGGTGTAGTCCTCCATCAGGTCGTTCAGAAGCTTGCGGGCGTAATGACCCTGGGCACCTTGGGACACTGAGAGGGGGCGAGAGCAACTCAGAGAGGTTGGCACAACGGATGAAGAACAAACATCAAACGGATCCCTCACGCAGAACTGACCTTGCACCAAAAGGCTGATCCAAACCATCAGCGCTGCCTTCCTCATTTTCAACCAGTCACAAGCTGACGGATCAATTATTTAGCAAAGCACTCGCTGACAGACCCGGGGTCCAAATCCAGTGTCACTTTATTCTGATTTCCATCCTGCCCTTCAGAGGCCGAGCGAGACGAGACCTCAGGAAAAATTCTCAAAATCTCACATCCTGTCAGAGGCTGTGAATGCTTCACTGGCTGTTAGTCGCAGGTCGTCTATGTCACTGTCTCTCTGTGGGCGATCGCTGCTCTGGAACAGGACCTGGGGCTATCATTCACACACACACACACACACACAGGTACACTGCAGTATCAAATACCGCATATAGGCACTGGGTGAAATGTGACGCCTAAGGCCGTATCCACTTGTGTTCCTGACCACAACCAGCTGTACGACACACACAGACACACACACACACATACACAGCCTTACTGCGTTACACAGCTAATGACACGTGTCAGTCACACACATATAATGACACTTTCTTACCCATGCTCTTATCCGTGGTCATTCAAGATGAACACACACAGACGTGTCAATGATGATGTGACACATGTCATACGTAACACGTGGCAACAAACATAACACAGATCCAGGATCAGGTTTCACGCTGTAAACAGAACTCTTTAACACAAGCACAGAAAGCTGTAAACAGGTTGTAGATCAGTGATAAGAGTAGATTTCACCCTCTCTTTGTATGTTTGTCAAAGACATCATAGAGACAAATAGAGGCACTTGAATCTCTGATGATTTATGATACTGTTTTATTTAGGTTTCTTGTCATCTCATGAGCTAAAATGTAAGCCTGTGTTATCATTGAATGATAAATGTACGGTATTTATACATTTATAGATAGGCCTGTTTCATACCTACCACTCATTTACACACACACATTCATACAGCACCTCTATCTTTCTCTATCACACTATTCATACACTTTTGGCACAGGGGGGGCGATTTGGGGTTCAGTATCTTGCCCAAGGTCACTTGAATGCAAACTGGAGGAGCCGGGGATCAAACCACCGACCTTCGTTTTGTTGCTGTTACTACAATATGACCATCAGTGCGCAGCAGCGTCAACTAAATGTCCTACTTTATCTGCTTAATCTTATCACAATTATTATTCTGCCCCATTGCTCATTCAGTTTGTACCTCTTCAAACAAAGCCTTTCAGATAGAGGTGGAGGCTCCTTCATCGTCACACTAGTGTGCTATGACCTTTGGGGTTGTGTCTCAATTCAATAGGAAAACCGCTTAACAACCCACCCAGTAACAACGAGTACAGTTTACTGGAAAAATCTCCGTCTGTCAGATTTTCTCCACAACCACTCAAAGATTCACAGCCAACACTGCACTGCCGGGGGTCAGGCCGACTTTGAAGTCAATGTGAGGAGCGATTGTTGAGAAAGACAGATGGATTTCAAAATATTCAAAAGGATTATTTACAGGTATCTGACCAGAGGGCTGCTGAGACACAACTCTCTAAAGTTAAGTAAAGGTTGAATCACAGCAGTTGTAAAGCCAGTGAGGGTCGATGCTGGATGTAAGTGATACATTAAAAATATTTAGGACTCTAAGACACAAAACTGGCTGGAGATGTGTGGAAAGTTTAACTGGTGAAGCGACTGGATACATTTCTCCTGGTAGAGGGTGAAGGAGGCAGCTTCAGAGGCCAAAACCAGCTGAGACAAATAGATGGCAGACAAACAAACAAAAGATGCAGATGAAAACATAATCTCCTTGACGAAGACAAAACTGTTCTGACATGTTTCAACTCTACAGCTTCAGACAGATGTGATGTGTGAATGTGTCACAGAGTTTCTGTGGTGCTTAGCTTGCACAGGACAGGTGTTTCCTGTGTGTATGTGTGTGTGTGTGTGTAAAAAAAAAAGGGAGACAAATAGTTTTTTGGCACAATTAGTGGATTAGTGTTTTTTTTTGTAAATGTGTATGATGGACGTTTAAATATATAATGCATAATGTATGCACTGTACAAACAAAAGAGGCACTGTGAGCTTACTTTGGATTAATATTGACGGCACAGATCAGGAGTGTGTGCATCTGTGTTCTTGCGGTAAATGGGGGAGAGACGGAGGCAGAAAAAGAAAGAGAGCGAGGGAGTTTCAGAGTTAGAGACAGTGGGAGATAGGCAGAGAGTGTGTGTGTGTGTGTGTGTGTGTGTATTGAACTTCAGTAATTTTGAGCAGGGTGAGCAACGGAGGTGCAGTCTGGTGACATATTTTACTTTCAGTTATTCCTGTGTGCCATAGATTTCCACTGTTTGTCCACCAACTGTTAAAAATACATGAATGTGGTTGCACTGGGCCACTTGCTCCTAAGTTACCACAATAAAATAAAGGATGGCTGAAATCTGTTTATCCAGTGAATGGATGTGTCCAAAATCACCCACTTATTCACTACCTCTATGACTTCTATGTAGAGGACTGTTTAGTGATTAGTGAGGGATTTCGGACACAGCCACAACTCCCAGGGAATCTTGAACGCAACAGAGCTGCCACTAATGTTATTCGAAACAATTCAAGTCCTAGTGCAGTGAACTCTGTAACATGATCAACACAAACTAAAACTCAAAAGTATTGAAATAAGAACTGACCCCAGTTTGTTTTGGACTTAAATGGGGTCAATTATTTTTCATCCAGCACTTTTTTGCATAATCCTGCTAACTTGCAAACATAAACTGAGCAAGAAACAGAGCTGGGATTGGTTGAGTGTGCCATGAGAAGTAGTTGATATAGGTTCTTGTTCAAGTCCAGGTATGGAGAATGAATGATAAGAATGACTCTGCTGTGAAAAAAGGCCTGTGTGTCACCTCCTTGCTTAACACATCAGAGGCCCTTGAAAACGAAGTGCAACTATCTGTTAGCTGTGAAGTGGCTCAACACCATGTACGTGTGTGTGTGTGTGTGTGTGTGAGGGAGAGAGATAGAGAGAGCGAGGAGGGATAAGGCATTGTGGTAGGTGTGGGAGAGAGAGCACAGTGAGAGTTGAGAGATGAGAGATCTGACCACAGTCAAACACGATGTGTGTCACATTGAAGCGTTGCTCTTTGTCTCTTGTTACTCAAATATAACCAACATGCAAACATTTGAATATATATATATTATATACATGTACTTACACTTGTTCTTTGATATGAATATTATATGAGAAATTATCTGTGAATTAACAGGAACATACAGGATTTCAGATGATGCAGTGTTTAATACATTAAACAACTTGTAAAAACATGATCTTTCATGCCATACCTCACCAAGCAATAGACTTTTCCTAAATTTAATACTCTCTGTCCTGTGCATGAGTAAGACTTTAGAAGCTAATGTAAGCGTGTGTGTGTGTGTGTGCGTCTGCATGTGTGTGTGCATCTGCATGTGTGTGTGACACACTGAAAGAAGTGGCTGTGTGTGTTTGCAGTTTAACTGTATAACGTGCATGTTTGTGTGTGTGCTGGGATGTGGTTTGGGGTTTTTCAGCATATATCCTTGAAAAGCTTCATATCCTGAACGTTTCTGAACACCACATGATGTAAAGAGAGAAAGAGCGGGAGAGGTATGAGGGGGAAGGAACAGCTTCTCGGAGCTGAACTTATCCATATGTTAATATAAGATAAAATGTGTAGGTACTAAACACACAAAATGTATATATTTGAGACTATAATACTATTGTGTAGAGGATGTATTTTCTGAACTGGATCGTGCTCCTAATTATAGACTATGTCATATGTTGTATTATGTCATTGTTCATTTGGGCTTAATAATTGGAACTGACTCAACAAGAATAGATACAAAGGTGTTGTGTGTGGGGGGAGTTGATAGAGAGAGCGAGAGACAGAGAGAGAGAGACAGAGAGCAAGAGAGAGAGCCACACACACGACACTAGCTGCTCATCTCTCTAAAATTAACATTTGCGAAAACTGTACATACGCATATATATACAAAAAGGTCATGTGTTCATATAAAAAGTGTATGAATAAGAGGAAGGCGATGGATAACAAGGGGAAGATTTGAAGATGATTTGATGGTATTCCAAGTTTTTGATGTTCATATTTAATCATATAGAGAAAATCTGGTAAATCCTTAGTTTTAATCCATCATATGAAATTCATTTTACCAGTAACAGAAGACAACAGTGACAGTTTACGAGACACACAGGTAGCAGGTTATATCATTACTTATCATTCTAAAAAGAGGTATACAGGTCAATAAAAAATATAATGCAAACATTTTTTTTTTTTTATGTCTCAAAATTTAGTTGTTAATGTTTCATGTTTGGTTTCTCTTATACTATAAAATACATTTCTAAAAAAATCTCTGGAAATGTTTTTTCTTCATTTTCAATAAAAATAATTTAAGTTAATTTTTTAATGGCTGATACAATATATGTTTTCGAAAGTCATGTGACTATTCATTTCCTTGTAACTGATGTCTGAATAGACGTTTCAACATTTTCATCTACTTTTGGATCTAGTGACAGTTCATTTCTCAGTCTCATCTAATCCAAGAAGAAAATATAGAGAATATGCTTCATGTTGAGCCTGATACAGTGAAACTGTCCCTTTGGACTCTCTGAGCCACAGTCATGTATCTTATTTAGTTAAAATCATTACTGACAAATGGCACCACTTAAGCGCACCATTTTATCTTTTTATTTTTTTATTTTTTTATTTATAAATGGGCAAATCACATTAAAAGCTCCATACAGCTGGTTGTGTCATTGTTTTTATGGTAATAAAGACACTCATTTGATTTATATATTGTTTCTCTTCTTTGTCTTCATCTGCACGGCTATTGGTAAAACAATAACAAAAACTACATGCTATCGACATCACCATCAAAGCTTAAAATGCTTACATTTTTGTAAAAGTCTTGACAAAAAGTCCTCTGGTTCCCCTTTTGAAATATCCCCATGAAGTGTATTGTTGTTTGCTTGAATACAGATCAGGAGAATCGACCAATTTCTTTATGTCGCTCCCTTGATCAACAAAAGTACCATTTCCATCTGTACATTTGCATGATGGTTGATTAGGTGTGGGTTTAAATCCGTGACCCTGTTAGTGAGAAATTACCTGACGTGTATAAAACAAATCCAACTTTGTGTTCTTATATCTGCACCAGGTCACTAACACACATTACGTCATGTCATGACAGTTCAAGACAATCCACCATGTCAGAGGTCAAAGGTCAAAAGACTTTGCACTGGTTTACATCGAACATGCGTCTCCTGGTCTGTTTCCTGACCTGGTTAACAGCCGTCCGCACAGCGTACTCAAAGACCTGCTGCACGCCTCGGTTGCTCAAAGAGGAGCACTCCAGGTAGCCTTTGGCGTGGACTGAATGAGCCATGCGTCTCCCCTCCGCTGCTGAGATACAGCTGCCCCGATGTGCCCCCGTCTCCCGCAGGTCCGTCTGTGTTGCCACGATCAGCACGGGCACCCTGGGCAAGTTCTCTCGAACTTCGGCGATCCACTTGTGCTGGATGTTGGCCAGAGAGTTGGGGTTGGCCACAGAGTAGCAGATGAGTACAACATCGGCCTGCTGGTACGATCTCGGGCGGATTTGTCTGAAGTTGTCATTACCCCCCGTGTCCCACAACCCCAGGCTGATCTGAACCCCGTCCATGTACACCTCCACCCCTGTGTTATCAAAAACAGTGGGCTTGTAGGTGTCCGGGAAGGTCTCTGAGGTGAAGCGGACCAGGAGGGCTGTTTTGCCAACCCCACTGTCCCCGACCAGGACGCACTTCACCGACATCTCCGCTGGGCCATTCATGGTTGTTACTGGCGATCTCTGGATGCGGTTGTGTAGAATAAATCTCAGGGGCAGCTTTTCTGTAACTTGTTGACGTGGAAAATCACTAAGTTCACAAAGTATTTAATCACTGTGTGTGCCGTACGTCTGTGTACAGGCAGTAGTTTTCATAGCCATTGATTTGCAGCTCAGCCTTGTGGTAATTCCATTCCTGAAGAATTCAGTGGTCATTCGTTTAAACAGAACTAACATGTCTCTGTTTTAAAAATCCGTAAACATCTCACGCACACAACAGGAATGTGCAGTTCTCCAGCAGTGGCCTTTATACACGCTTCACATAACCTCTCGGCTCTTTGGGCTCGCTCAGCTCGCAGCTCCTCTGCTCGGTCTCTGAAGTGCGGTGCTCAGGTTCTGGTCCTTCTCTCTTAGATTCTGTCATTCTGTCCAGACAGATCCAGCCTCTCAGAACTCAAGAGGGAAATCTGATCGAGAACAGAGATGAATGGAGGAAATGTAACGATATGAACATGACTCTAAGTTATGTTAAAACAGTGAAATGGTTAAGACCTCAAATGACACTTTATATGTATGTTTCTCCATATTCTTCTCAAACAACCTGTCGTGGTAGATGGCACCAGCCGAGCCCTTAATACAGGGTTTCTGCAGGTCTCAAGTTAAATCAACTTTTTAAAGGCACAATGAATGAAATTTAAGACCCTTGTCAAGTAAGACATATATGAAGGAATATCCAAGTCCCAGAATTACTTTCACTTCCCCATAATTGAAGATAAGGTGAAGTAGCCAAGTAGAGAATAACGCTTGAAACGCTGTGTAATCACACAAAACTACAAAGACAGTAACCAAGCCGAGTGCACTGAGATCAGGTCTGACGGGGGTGTAGATGATCAGCTAACAGTGTTTTTTTATTTCTTTTAATTCAATTTCTCAATATAAACAAAAAAATACAGCTATACACTAAAGTAACAAGGGTCTTGTTTGTGGTTTTATTACAGCGTGCTAATACTTTTTGAGAGAGAACTCATGCGGACATAACTAAATGTGACGTTATTTGCATCGAATGAGCACCAGCATTACGTAGACCAACTTGAATGTATTTAAGAGAACGTAATATTTTTACATATTTAACTTTTTAAGGCATAAATTCAGATTATTGAAAACTTTTTTATGAGATTTTTTAAGACCCTGTGGAAACCCTGTAAAACTAAATATTGTATGTCAGAAATGAGAGATAGTCTCTCTAACAATATAGAAACAGTCTTCTACTACTATCAATGCTTTATACTCTTATTCATAAATTAAATAAATTATATGACGAAGTACAAATTTAACACATGTAAAGATTTGTATGTTTGGGTGTGACCTAGAATTCACAGCTTGATCCTGAAGACATTAACAGGTTCTAGATAACAACGCATATCTGTCTCTGTGTTATATTATTAAGTTTTTTTCATGTCTGTCTCCTATTACTTACATTTATCTCTTATGTAAGACAAATATTTGTTATGTAGTCTATACCACAGAAAATTTAAGATCTGATCCTAGAAGAGTTTGAAACAGTGACATAAATCAGTCTTGACGGTTCTATTACAACAATGAAACAAACTTAATTGATAGTTTTCTTACAATATTACTGCTGCATCAAACTGACCTTTGCATTTTCCAAAATCAACATTTCTAAATTACCTAAAAGTTTTATAATCTCAGTTTCCCGTCAGAGATAATTTATGAAAAAATAAAGTAAGAAAAGTTTATCTGATCAAACTCTTCATTTACAAATCTAATATATAGTTTAAAATGTTACTTACACGTTAGTTTTATTCTGGTAAGAAGTAGTAGCCTACATCCTCAATATCTCTGATTTTAAAGTTATGAAACAAGTTAAGATTTATGCCCACATTGTGTTTTCTATTATTACATTATTCAAAGAGAATAGAATAAAACCTAACAGAATAGAGTTTGAAGGCCTCTGTAACTGCTTGACAAAGCAAACCTGGGACAAAGAACAATGAAAGAAACATACCTTTTTTGTCAGAGTGAGTCTCTAACGGATGCTGGCTACCGCCTCTGAAGACATCACACATTTCACAGCGCTGAGGACAAAATAACTGTCTTAAACCAAAGTCCAAAAAATGAGTTAAAATCTGCTGATTGGAATACAGCAAAACCCCAAAGCTACAGTTTCAAGTTATCTATTAATTAACAGCAGAGCCCAAATATTTCTGCACCTGTCGATCAACGTTGAGAATGGTGGGTAGAGGAGGGAAGTGAGAAGACAAGTATAACATCCGCTTGTTGGGGTGAGGAGGACTCACTTAGGTTTAAGTTCACCTCCCCCACACCAGCTGCACTTTACAATATGACAGCAGGGTTTTTTTTCTTGTGCGTTTGTGCCCTTTTGTCTGCAACTTTAAACTGCAGTAGAGCGCACACTGCAGGTGCAATTCAAGATTTTAGAAAGATCTCAATGTGCCTACAGCTATGACCACAGTTGTGACAGATTACGGTTAACAGAGATGCATCACTCAGTTATCAACAGAAACTAGAGCCTGACCGATATGAATTGTTGGGTGGGTTCACTATATACCGATATCAGGATCAGGGAATTAAAACAATCTGATACTGAGATATCAACTGATATATATATTTAAAAAATGTGGTAATAATTTCCCTTATCAAAACCTTATGACAAAGAAATATAATTGAGGCATGATATTTTACAGTCTCAGCATAATTACCAAATTTTTAAATTTATGTTTTTTGCACTGCATCTATATAACTATATATTCTATGTAACTTTTCAATGTTGATGTATTGGTATAAGCTGATATATATAAATATAATATATTATTACTATCAAACCCTTTTGACAAAGAAATGTCTTTGAGACAGTTTAATCTTAACCAGTTTAACCTCATCTGATACAGGCTGTATAATAAAACCTCTTCCATTTCAAAAGTTGATGTTCTGGAGCCTTAATATTGTGCTATTTATCCACAGGGTCCGCTGACTGTGAGTGGAAGGGTTTACATTTATTCAAGAGAAACAATGATGTAAACCCACATATTAAACTGTAAACAAATAGAATTTTATTCCACAGAACAATATTCTCTGTAAAACCATTTGAACAAATATGATTGATACAAAAATACAATCTTCTCTTTATCATTCATGTCATCACAATATTATGTACAACCAGTAAAATCTGTCAATATTGTCGTCACACAGGCATGTGTTTTTAAGACAAAGCTACAGGGAACAGGCTGGAAATGACAGACTGGCATCGAAGGAGAAGAAAATTCATTCCCTGAGTTTAATAATCAACATATTAGCAGCTTGGTCTTATACTATAGGTAAATGCATGTCCCAGAAGCAGCTGCTAAGACAAAGGAGAGTTGGTGACTGCTACAGAATGTACAACCAAGGTTCCAACTATTTTAGGTTCAAAACTATATATGGAGTTTGATCATCTGAAAAACTCATGTAGTGTTGAGCAACACGCAGAGAAAAAGCTACAACCAAGAGGAAATAAAAATTGAGTCATGTCTTTGTCAGAACTTCCAAGATGACGATACATGATTGGCTGGTACTCAATGCAAAGTTTAAACTTTTTCAAAAATACCATATTAGTTAAAAACCTAGAGAACAACCTCCGACCAGACAGTAAGGAACCATGACTCATGATTCATGACTCATATGAATCTTCATAAAATACTTTCATTATCAAACATGAAACAAGGCCTTATCGAGAATGGAGCATTCTTAACACCTTTTTCTTTTTAAGCATTCTCTAAAAGGCATAAAGTAAATACACCACACTGTAAAACATTTTAAATATAAAATATATGGTACATACAATCTGGCTTCACAGATGCATATAAATACCTTATTTGTCACTTATCACACCAAGACAGCTCTGTTTTATACACACACAAGAAAAATATATTCTTATTAAAATCTGAATTTATGTTAAGTAAGAAATAATCTACTCAAATGATTAAATAAAACTTCTGGTGGCTACATGACTGGTGGAGGACTGTAAAATGGTATGAGACCAGAGAAACAAGGAGGCTGAGAATATCATACTGTATAGAATGTAATAATTGTATATGTGGATTGTGTGTGTGTGTGTGTGTGTGTGTGTGTGTGTGTGTGTGTGTGTGTCTTCCTTCATAGCAGCTTCAGACCAAATCCAATAAACCAGAGTCTTTTCACTTCAAAGAGACCAACATGAGACCTGGCTTTGGCTCCGTGAACCTATGAGATGAAGAGATAGCAGAAAAGGTGATGAACACATCACGTGTGTTTTGCGTGCTTGTGTGCATGCGCGCGTGCGTGCGTGGATACCTGTAGTGTTTGCTCGTTAGGTAGTCTATAACGGCGGGGCGGATGCGGGCCACGCCCCCCTGGCTGTGGTTCCCTCTTCCTGTGATAACAGAGAGCTGAGGTCGACACAGACCCTGCTCGCTCTCTACAAAGACAGAGGTGACAGAAGAAAACACACACACAAACACAGAATAAAGTTAACAATGGGAGTATACACAAATTTAGCTTAACGCAAACTTGGAAAGTGCTTGTTGGTTGTCTTGATTGTTCATATGGTTCAGATGTATATCATCTACCAGTCTCGACACATTCATTATACTCATTACACATTAAGTTCAGTTTACTTGTCATGAACTGGGAAATACAGGCTATATTATTACATCCTCTGTCTCTGGAGGAAGGTTTGTAAAGTTTAAATAAATAATCCTAATGATATGTTGGATTCAGCGTTTCTGGAGCTTGATCCATGGTAAAGGCAAAGCTCTAAACTATCACTATAAGTGATGGGTTTAGTCATTCATACACAGTGGACTGTAACATAAATTGTCTTTATTGCTTCATTTAGACAATAAGTACAGAAGTAGAGAGAGAGGAGAGAGATGAGATGGAAATTAAGAAAATAACTGTTTAAGGTGGTATGTTTATAAGATCCACATCTATTGTCTGTGTATTTTCTTTTGCGCTGCTGCAACGATTAAATTAATCTGACAAAATTAAATTCAGTTGAAAGTGTTAAATATAATGTCGCTAGGTCCAAAAGAAAACTACGATTGTTACATTTAGCATCTAAAGGGCCTTCTGACAGGATGAATGGAAAGTTATGCCATTCGATAAACATAGTGCCAATACTAGGTATAAACAGTATATTGCTAAATACCTGTGGTTTTGTCAAGTAAGACCTGGGCCAGATGCTCCAGGGCCTCGTCTACATGCAGCCCATGGAGGTCCAGGATGTTCCGGGGAAGCAGCGTCGAGTTGACCCTCTCAAAAATCTGAACCGCTGCACGGTGATTGGCCTCACGCATCCGCTGGCCATGCATGTGTCCCTGAGAAAAAGTTGAAGCAAATTGATAAACTCACGATGAATAAATGACTAGATACAAATACAAAAAGAAGAAAAATTTAATAAAATTAGAGACATTACATCTACTGCTAAATATGTTCCCCTACAGCTTTTACATAAGAACTCTAAAAATGCTTCACAGGTGAAAATACAGCTGAAAGCTAGAAAAAACATGAAAATAGGAGGCACTGCCTCAGCCACTTGCCTGCTGTGCGTAAAACGAAGCCACTTCTCTGCGTCCTTGCTTGTAGGCCTCTGCGGCCTTGGCGAAACTCTCGAGCTGTCGGCTTCTCTGCAGACTGGCCTCAGCCCTGAAGTCGTCATATTCTGGGTCCTCCACATCCTGATAGTCAGGCACGGTCGACTGCAGGGGCTTTTGCCTCTGACAAATTGAAGGACAGAGTTACAATGAGGTATGGTGATTGCATCATGTAAATATATCTTGAAAGCATGTTTACGGCATTACAATTCAAAGATGAAGTGTTAAAAGGGAACAGATGGAGTTCAGATACCGACCTTTAAGAGATTATACATGACAATACATAGTAATTGCACATGAATGTGTGTGCTTGCTTGTTTGGCTCTGCTCGTGTGTGTGATTACCTTTTCCCTCTCCTTGCTGGCTGCTCTGTGGAGGTCAGAGCGAGGAGCCTCTGGGGCGACAACTGTCTTGACGGGTCCTTCGTCCAGTAGAGAGCGAAGAAACAGCTCAGTCTGTGTCAGGCTGTAACTACACAAGCAAGAGCACACAGGAATTAGTCAGGAGCACGGTTCTCTCACATAAAACAAATATATTTTAACATTAGAAAAACAGGAACTGACCTTAGCGTATTATAGGAACAGTGTACATTAACTATCCTAACTAATGGCAATTTTCTAAGTTGTCCTATTAAATTCCTTTCAACTGTAGCATCCAGATCAATGTGCTGCTGACCTTCTGAGTAATGGTGGTTGGCGTGTGAAATAGCCACAGTCTTGAAGATATACTTGAGTCTTACTTGTGGTCTCTGAAGAGAACCAGGAGGAAATGCCTGTCAATGGCAGGGAAGAGGGAGAACAGTTTGTTCTCTTTCAACAAGGTGGCGCCATCACGCCGGTCAAGGTCTGAACGACTTTGTCTGGTCTGAAAGCAACAGGGTTAGAAAGCGGTAAGGATAAGTGTAACAGAGTAGAGCAAACCAGAATAGTATCATTAAAAAAAACTGGTAGAGCAGATATTAGCATTACCTTCTTCACATTCTCCTGCAAAGCCTGCTCCTCTTTAATGATATCTCTGAGAGAGACATGTGGACGGGACACGTTCCAGTGGTCCATGAACGGCATCTGACCACGGGACTCTGATTGATTGTTCAGTGATGTGTATCCATCAGCATTGGGGAGGAAATGTCCTCCGTGTGTTCGTTCTTGTTGCCCTGGTTCGGCCACCTGTGATTCACGACAGTGTACTGAACCTAAACATACAAAGGTCCACATTTCAGTTCCCTTAGAATAACCTAATAAACTAATACTTGTATTAATTTGTTTTATAGGGACAATACAGGCCAATGCAACAAATGCAGGGTGTACCTCAACCTCTCGCCCAATCATCTCATGTATTAAATGTCTCTTTGCTTTTACTTTGAAGCACACAGCCATAGGTCTATGCTTTTCATATGAAATGTGCACTATAAATAGAAGTGAATTTCAGAACAAAGCGGAACAGCACTTGACTAAACATCTAAGCGTGTGTGACTGTGTGAACTTACTTTCCTGAAGCAAGTGGAATGAAAGAGTTGCTTGTCTCTGCTTTTCCTGTAAAAACATAATTTACAGTCAGATAAACCAATACAAACCCCTTAAATCACATGAGGCAAATGTAACTATTAAACTATCAAGTATCGCTGCGTTAAAAAACTTGCCTGGATTGTTTCCTTCCACTTCTGGTGGAGCAGTTTAGCCAGATTCAGGTCCATCTGCACTGTATAGTCATCAGTAGAGCATGTTTCTGAATATAGTAAAGCAGAGAGGGCAGATGCATCAGCTCAGAAGTAGAGAAGGACATGGACAGTCATTTTTATTGGTCTAACATTCAGTGATATGGTACCAGATAAGGGATACAGACGGTTGCCTTTGTACAACAAGGGAGTCGTAAGACCTTGTTCATTTGAGGCAGTAAGGACCAGTGTGTAGGATTTATGGGCATCTAGGAGTGAGGCTGCAGATTGCAACCCCTCTTCTCAGCCTCCCTTTCCAAGCATGAGGGAGAAGGCTTAAGGCCACAGTTGCTTCTCCTTCGTGTGGTTTGTTTTGTTCATGATAACTTAAGGCTCAAGGTTTCATGAACAAAAACAAACAGGTCCTCTCTTGAGCCCATGTTTGGTTTGTCCATTATGAACTTCTGTAGAAAACATGGCAGGCTCTGTGGAAAAAGACACACTCCCTATGTAGATATAAAGGGCAGATTCTGAATGAATGATAACATATATAGTTGTTTTTGGGTGATAATATAACTAATGAAAACATGATAATGAAGATAGTATTGTTGGTCCTTTACTATCTCTGAGTCCAACGGCTATCGAATGAAGGCAAATATTTTTGGGTTTCCGAAGCAGGATATGATATCTGTTTATATCCATTTACCTGCGGGCAACCAAAGCTAAATTTTAATGGTCAAACTAGAAATGGAAACCAGAAAGCTTCTAAAATCCCTCACCTGCAGATTCTACAAATTCACATACAGAATCTCTTTATACAGTTTAGGTACTTCAAGACTTTAACTCTGTTTTTAGCAGTAGATGTCCTGCTTCAATTTTTTCTGTGTCAGTGAGTCCAGAGTGTTAGTTACCTGGATCTAAGCCCACAGGACCAAACAGTTCATTGAGCTGTAGGGCCACCTCGGTGGGTAGTTTCAGCTCCACACTTTGAATGTCCAGATGTCCCGTCCTTCTCTCCTCCACGTGCCTCCTTTCTGTACTTTCCTCCTTCCTCCACTTTTCCTCTCTCTCCATCTCCTCTAGCTCAGCCTGCAGCAGCCGGTGAACCTCGTCCATGCTGGCGATCTCATCCTCAATCACGGTCCTTGACTCTTCAATTATTACGCCATCATCTGAGCCCCAACCCCAAGCACCACCTTCTTGATCAGGTATTGAGATCAATTCGTGTTCAGTGTTGTCAATCTCTCTCGTGGCTTTATGCAGAACAAGTTCTCTCTCAGAATGTTTTTCAGAGTATGAGGTTGTATCAGTTTGATTTTCGTTTCTAACCGGAGCAGCTACACTTTCAAAACTTAATAATTCAGTGTTAGTGATGTTCTCATTTGAATCACTAACAGTCCCACATGTTGACTGCTGAGCCCCCTCCTCAAACCCAGCTTCTCTTTCCTTTGACAGATCTTCAGGGAGGCGCTCATCTAAGACATTAGGACAAAACATGGTTTCTATGTCGCCTAAACCTCCACACACAGCAGACGTGTTCTGGTAATCTTCACCCCATGCACCATCCTCCTGCCCCTCCTCCTCTTTAAAGAACCTCTCTCCAGAGTCTAGCAGAAGGTTCGTAGTCCACTCAAGGTCCTGATGGCATTTGTCATAAAGATCTTCTAATGTATCAAAACTAACTAATTTAAAATGACGGCTTAGGATGCATAAGCTCTCAAGTCGATCTTGAGTTCCTCCAAGCTCCTTCTCCTCCACTTGTGTGCCTTTCTCATGCACCACACGGTAGAGTACCTCTTCCTGGCCGAAGGGTTGAACTGAAACAGCTGCAGGGGACTGCTCCGGCACAAAGCGATACGAGTCACCATAGAGGACTTTGAGGTGGTTGCATGCGGCGAGGACTGCATCGTCAGGGCTGTCTTGACGATTGAGACGCCACATAAGGGCAAAGTCTTGAGGTTCAGTCTGAGAGAAGCAGCCACTGTTTACTGGAGAAAGAGGAGGGGAAGGTTGTGCCTCAGATCTGGACTCAGTGCATGGGTCAACGTTTGGTTTAAGTTTAAGGCTGGTGTCGAAGTTGGGATTTAAACTAGGATTGACATCTGTGTCTATAATACTCTGACTACTGTGTATAATTTGAGCTGGGGTATTGGGGGACTCAGGAGTATTCAACAAAGACCCAGGACAGTTTTGAGTGAAGGTGAGGGCGAGCTTGCACTGCTTCACCGACCTGCGACCCTGACGCTGCTTCCTCTCCTGACTGCCTCCGCTTAAAGTAGTGCCTTCTGCTTCCACAGAGCCCTCGCACATCAGACTCTGACACACCTCGCTAATATGGCTGCCATCGGCTTCAGATCCAGTCTCTCTACCATCCCTTGTGTCGCAGTTAGTGTCCATATCTCCAGGCTCTGTAACAACATCACCTTCAGTATTGTGGCTTCCTACTTCCTCCTGGCATATACTCGTCTGTGCAGTTTTGGAGATGACTAGTGAATCGGCAGTGACAGCTGAGGGAGGATGTGTAGCGTCATTACTCCCTCCTGCTGAACTACTTGCTTCCTTTCCAGGTTCAAGTTCCTCCCTTTTATCAGTGTTGGATTTCCTGACACTAGAAGAATCAGCTGCCTTCCAGGCTAACACACAGTCAGGCAGTTCACCCCTACTGTTCATGTTTTGCTCCTTTTCTTCACTTCCACTTGCCTCCGACTCTTTCAGTAGTTCCTCTTCAGAGCTCAAAGAAAGGGAGGAAGAATGGGAAGAGCTGATCTGAACGGCATCACCTGTCTGCAGAAGATCAAGAACCTTCTGAAACTCTGTTATATCAGGTCCAGGTTGAACTTTTATTTGATTTTCATCAACCTCTTGAGGCACACCTTCATCTTTGTCCTTCTCATTTTGTTCTATAAGCCTTTCTCTCCTCCTCATTTGTCGCTGTTCAAGGGATCCTTCAGAAGGCCAGTCGCCTACAAAATCCAACATTTTAGGCATTCCCTTCGCTTCCTCATCCCTCCCAATATCAACTCCTCCTGCCTCCTCTTCCTTTGCCTCACTCTCTGATTGGTTAGTATCTTTCACCAGATCTGCAGGCTCCATCCTGTCAAACTCAGACCTCCTGCTCGGCCTTTCTCTCCGCACCCTCTGTCCAATAGACTCAGAGAAAGCCACAGGTATTTCATCCCCTCTGTGATCTTCATTCATCACTGATTCCACAATACAGTCGGGAATTCTCTGATCTGCTGTTGAATTATTTAGCTGTGACTGAGCATCCAGCTCAGAATCTAATTCCCCCAAATCCAAGTCATCATCCATTTTGGGGTTTTCTGTAGGTTTTCCAGCAGGCTGGAAATTGAGGGACTCAGTAGATTTGTGGCTGCTATCTTCCAGTTTTCCCCCCTCGCTAGAACGACCAATAGATGACACATCGGGGAGAGAGGAAAACAGCTGAGAGCGGGATTTCTTACACTCGTCAGTTAATCCAGGTTTCCCGACCAGATCAGGACAATTTGTTTCAGCAGACAACGGCCTAGAGAGAAAAAGAGGACAAAATTTCAATCAATCAATCAATAAGTAAATATCTAATACTAATACTGCATTTCTACAAATGTCTGTGATAACTGAAAGAATTATCTTGATGAATGTTTTTTAAAAACTGATTCATATAAGTCAGCAGTGTGCCAAGAGAGCTCTATTCTGCAGAAGTAATAATGTACGAGGAGAGATATATTTACAATGTTTTTATATTGACACAATTGCATATAGATGAGTTAAAAGTAGATTTGTATCAAGACAAACATGTATGGATGAAACTCACTGTGAGCTTTTGTTCTCCAGAAGGAGGCGCTCTTTCCACTCAGGCATGTGTGAACCCATAATAGAATGGACTGTAACGAAGCGCTCATATCCGTTGAGCATGCGGCGGATTGTTTCCACTGACACATTATGTGTAGTGCGCCTGTAGACAAAGTGAAACAAATACATAACGGGATGAACCTTTGTCAACAAAAAAACAAACCTATAGTTGATGTTTTCGACCAAAAACTGTCACCTCTCCAGTTCTCTGGGTTTGGTCTTCCACCAAGTGTCCGGCTCTCGGAACAGCACTTTATATCCATGTCTCAGTGCCTGGACAAATATGCAATGATATATGAACTGTGTTCAGAAACATTCCTCAAAACAAAAGTTGCCAAAATGATCACAAGGTAGACGTTATAAATATAACTTTCAAATTGTATTTAAAATTATAGAGGCAGTGTTTTTTCTTACAGGGTTGTCAGTCTGAGCAAAGCCTCAACCATTTACAGTGCCATGCATTAGCTGGATTAGCTCTTCTACAGCAGCAAAATTAATCACATGAGATTTGTTCCTGCACTTGATGGGTTACTGACGAGCAAACTCACCTGAACAACGTAGGGTCTCATTTCCCAGCCCTGCATGTTGGTATTGTCGATGATGATGGGGTTAGTGCCCCTCTCAAAAGCTTCTTTAGCTGTGCGATAACATTTCCATAAGAGACAACCCATGAGAAACAAAACATTTGTTGTTTTAATATAAGTGTGGTCAATCAGACTGCATTCATTGGGAAACAACAGCAATTAAAAAAGTCTTCAGAGGTCACGCAGGAGTGTTGACTTGCTACTGTTGCATAGCTTCTCATCAAATCTGTGTGTGTGTGTGTGTTATTTACCTCGTTTGTGATTCCACTCATGGGCCTCCCCCAGAGCAGTGGGGTCAAAGTTATATCCTCCAAGGCGGGTGAAGAAGTCGTCAGTGGTCAGTATAGCTCCACCAGGGTTATGCTCTAACAAGCCTCTGCAGAGAGAATCAGAGAAACATTTTGAAGATGCACTGATTCATTTTCTCTAAGACTTTGCAGGAGTCAGTTGGAGTCAAATCAAAAACAAAAGTGGCCACCGACAGCATGATGTCAAGCCAGGTGATTATATTTCAGTTAAGTGTTGTTTCTTGTCATGTGGAAAAGTCTCCACTCTGTGAGCTGTGACTGTGATACCTCTGCAAAGTGTGTTTTAAAAGAACACACATTATTCGTGAGCACAGCGTAGTGTCATTATGAGAATCCCAACATTCTAACCTTGCCAAAGTTGACTTGCCAGATCCTGGAGCACCACGTAGCAGCACGAGCACCTTCCCTTCCAAACGAAGTCGACCGTGCTGGGCAGGGAGCTGTGGAGCAGCAGGCAGGGCCCAGGACTTTGGAATAGTTGCTGAAGGTTTGAGAGGTGCTTGACTGACAGAAGCATGACTCAGCCACGGAGAGGCATGCCTAGTTTGACTGGGCCATGTGGAGGATGTTTGAGCCACAGGAGTGATGAAAGTTGGGCCCTGGTTACTATGAATATGGGGAGAAAACACTGGTGCCTCCGGGTTCCAAGGTGATGACATGTAGCTGAGTGGCTCCCGATTAAACATGTTCACCTTAGATCTTGCTCCTCCAACTACAACATCAGAGGGGGGGATCCCTGCCCTCTCGGACAGACCATGTGACGGCTCTTGTTTTTTATACACCTGGAAAGCTGATGGACGTCCTGAAGCTGCCAGGTCTAAAGGAGGTTTCAGCTTGTCCAAAGGTGTTTCTGTCAACAGATGTTTGAAATCCACCACTGCTGTTGACTGCTGCCCCTCCATGGTCTCCACATCCCAAGAGCTGAGCTGGTCGAGTGGCGAAGCAGACACCCGCTCCTCCAATCCTCCCTCTGTGCAGGGCTGCTCGGAAGAGGGCCCTCTGGATCTAGACTTTAGGCTGGACTGAAGCAGCTCAGGGAGGGGCTGCTGTGGAATCGGTGGTGGAGGGAAGGAGGAAAGAGGTACATCAGTGGACTTTGCAGTCAGTGTCTCTAGCTCCTGATCAAGTAGTAGATCCAGCTCCTCAGTCAGGAGGTTGGCTGAGGGAGGAGAGTAAGGCTGCTGTGGTGGTTTGGAGGAGTCCGGGTCTGGTCCAGGTTGAGGAAAGTGTTGGGGCCTGAGCAGGGCTGCAGCAGTGCGCTCAAAGCCAGAGACAGGAGGAGGAAAAGGGGCTGCACCTTCAGCAGCCACAGACAGCTCCAAGAGGGAGTCCATTGCATTTTCAACTAGAACACAAACAGGGAAAACAAAAAAGTCCAGAAAAAAGAATTAACAGCCAGTTTTACTGTAATCATCCTTTACAACTTGTCATGCTTGATTTTAAACCAGTTGATGGGAATTTATAACAAAAACTAACTAAATAATACTTTTGTGCATAAAATACTCAAATGAAAATGAATAAAAACGAGCTATAATCACAAAAGCAACATGATAGAGACTGAAATACAAAGGAATGTAAAAAGGTGCTAAACTATCAGGGAATTCTAAAACAGAGGTCATGTTCATCTATAAGAAGGACTATATATATTTTATATGCAAACTGAGTCAATTCTGAGTAGACATAGATATAACAGTTGTCCCCTATTCTGTTTGTGTTGGTATTCACCATAACAGTGAACAATAAAAGACCAAAAAACTACATAAGATAGTCAATAATATGGCCAATAAGATCGCTGGACGGCAGTAAAATTCCATGATGATGATCTGCAGGTCCTGAGTTGCGAGGTAAGAACGGTAGATTAGTAGAGACATATAACACCCCCCCATGCAGCGTGTACGAGCTGCTACCGTCAGGCAGACTCTACAGGGTGCCATCCTCGCAGATCATTTGTCACGGCCAGTGTTGCACTGCTGAATCAGCTTGAAAAGGAAACCACTAGAAGCTCAGAGTGTGAAAATGCAGCACTTTACCATTCCATAATGTTGTGGGTTTTTTTAATGTTAAGTGTACTGGTCTGTGATTGAGTAGAGTTTCTTTATGGTGGTGGATGGTGTTGTGTATCATTGTTATCTTGTTATCTCCTGGTTGTCTGGTGTACACTGTATGGCACATGATGACATCTATCTATCTACCTCTAATGCATACCACTGTAATGTCTTTAAGGACACGAATGATGATGTCATTCAGTTCTAACTAAGCGTCAGAGCTACTTCACTATCACCTATGCTCAATAACATGGTACACCTTGAAGCCCCTTTAGAGTATTTAAGTCGATTGTATGTAGTAGTACTTTGTGCACATTTGTGAACTCCTGGTACTGAAGCTGTTCAGGCAGGTCTGTATCTTGTTTAAATGTTTGCTGTTGTGACCCCCCCAAGCTAAGTAAACATCAGTTCAGTCAGCAGTGGAGACAGCTTAGGACTGGTATCAGGAAAATGGCTTGAACTGATAATGATTTGATGACTGCTGATTGAAGTTTTTCCTGACTTGAGAAGTTTAACTTTAAGAAGCAACATGCACGAATGACAATAATAGTAGTTGGAGCAGCATGGATTGTTTTTTCATAGCTTCTCTACACGTGGACAACATGTCAATAACACACATGGGACCTTTACTGTGCAGGGATCAACACTGTACACGGCTAACAGGCTACCTAGCTAACTGCTTAGCCAAGTAAAACCAAACCTAGCCGTGCCAAATTTCACACAGAAGGTTTGCACGTCCTGTTTTTACGTGTTTGTTTGCGGCTACCTTTAAAGTCGCACTCGGACAGCACGATGTAGATCACCTCTGGGTCCAGGTATGAAAACATATCCTGCATGTTTTTGACGATCTGCTCCTTGATGGTGGAGCCTGGCAGCGAGTCACCGGAAGAAAAGTTGTTCGCCATGGTGCCGTCGTACCCCAGAGGGAGTTGGTAATATCCCGCGTTGCTGTTGCCGAGGCTCCCCCCCTCTGACGGTCCTCCGGGGACTCTGGCCGGGCTTTGGCCGTTTTTCTTTCTCCGAGGCATTCCAGGCCCGAGCTGCCGCTGCCGGGTGCTGACATTAGAGGCTAACGGAGCTAACTAAGTAGCCGAGGAGCTACGAGACAGTGGCCCGGAGCTGAAAACATGCTCTTGAAGTGTGGGTGGAGTGATCACGCTGCTACAGCTGAAGGATGTGCGTTCTAACAGCAGCACTCCAAGTGGCGGAGACACAAGATGTCCCACACGCAGCCCAGCACCGGCGATCCACACTGAGCTTTCAAAATAAAACACACGGCCTTCCCGACCAGTGTCTGACCTGCTGGTGAGTGAAAGTGTGGGTTTGTCTTTTGTTGCTTTAGATTTACTCTAGAAGGTTATTTATGAATTTAACTTCTGAGGAGGACAAGTGTATGAGCAGGTCCTGGTTGTACAAACATGAAAGAGTATCAGGGACAGGCAAAAAGGGAAAGATTTAAATTTGAGAATATAAAAAAACACATGACAAAAAAGTCAAAATGTTAAAATTAATTTGAAATTTTAAGATTAAAGTAAAACCTATAAAAATGTTAGTTACCAACATTGATTTATACACAATTGTGTCATGTAGATGAAGTGAGGAAATTGATCTTCAGAGTTTTAGTTTTAGTAACAAGAGAATTATTACTCTTTTAGTGCATAATTGTGCAAACTGTAATAGCTGGGAATGTACAAATGCAAGTTTATCAATGGTTGCACCATACACTCCAAGGATGTCACGTTCTGGTAGTTTACATAGCTGTCAGTCGCACCTGTCAATTTGATAGATCAGGGGATTTCAAATTAATTTTTTTAATTGTATTAAATGCAGACTGAAAATAAATCTTCCTGCTTTCATTTTCTTCTTTTGTTGAGCCTTAGTACTTGTCTGTGCAAACATCATTTTGCAACATCACTGTCAGCCCAAAGCGATAAATGTCAAGATCTGAGGGACTGTTGCAAAAATGAAAAAACTAAACTGGGAAATGTCAAATAAACAACTAAACCACAAAAATGATCACTGCAAAGATATGTATAGTAGTATTAGAGGTCATGATAAGAAATGAGATAAGACTTTATCAATCCTGACTGGAGTTCTTGTGCCAGATTGCTCCAAGATTACAGGATCAAACAATTCTAAAACATATAAGTGAAGATAAAAATTCAGTATATTGTAAATGACATAAAAATATAAAGTGTATACAGAGTAATGTTCTCTCTACAGAGGCCATCATGTTTTGTACAGTAGCCTAAACTGGACAAACTGCCTTTTGAGTTTCTATGACTCAGGCTGCCACAGGTTCTCTTTCACGTTTGGAAGGGGAGGGTGAGGTAAGGGATACTCAGCTGCAACATGCAACCTCACCCCTAGATGTCACTAAATTCTACACACTGAACCTTTAAGTGTTGCATGTTACTTATTATTACTTACTGATGCCTATTTTTGACTCGTGCTGCCACAATGTCCCGATTGTGGGACTAATAAAAGATCATCTTATCTTATGTGCAAGTTTCCCTTCATGTACAGGCCACAAACACAGGGTTTCATTCAAAAACAATGATAATGTGCAGTCACACAGAGTCATTACATTGAATAAGCAAAAAGGGGGGGTTGACAGGTTACGGGGGATAACTTATTTAAGAATAAATTCCTCAGTGAGCTGAAGAAACTAAACGATGAACGGCTACAGTGAAGGGGCTGTTTGTTCCTCCCGCCATGAACGTGGTGATGCAGTACTCCTAAGAGACCGAGGGGGGCGCCCTGCACCAGGTCTTCCACAGACAGCACTGACTGAACGGACAGAGCTTTGTGCCGAAAACTAAAGCCAACCTGTGTCAGACTAATGAATTAACACGGCCCACTTCAGAGGTAAATACCGGCGGGGAGACGCCGGGGGAGCGGTTCGGGCGCGTTCGGCTGCACTTGTGTGTCTGGGAACCGGTTAATTCCTGCATTTGCTGCGTTGTTGTAAAAACCCTCCGTGGGGGCAAGTTGGTGGTGAGAGGAGGGTTCAGGGCGACGGTAGCAGCAGCAGCCCTTCTCAGCCTGGGAACTAGCGGCGGAGCGATGCGTTGAAGTTGAGAAAAGACCGTAACAAGTAAATAAGCGTCGTTTTTAAACTTTACAAAGTAGTTGCGTGGGTCGAGCAGCTCGGGAACTGACCACGAGCACGGCGACGCGAGGCAGCGGTCGTTAGATACTTCACTTCCTCTGTGATTGTGTGTAGCTGGAGATGTGATGGGTACCAGAGTAGTTTGAGGCCTAAGCTAAGCGGAGTGGGCTAGCTGGTTAGCTCGCACGGCTAACGTGCATTAGCCGCTCGCCGCTAACACGACTTCCTTCCCGCAAAATGTTAGCCGTTAGCCAACAATGTTTGCACTGCAGCCAGCTAGCTTGTTTGATAACCCGTGTGACAGTAGACACACACCGGCGGGTCCAAAGTGGTTTTACAACAACTAAGCAGTTTAAATGCACATCAGGTTAGCGAAATGACAGCGGAGCTCGTTTCTGTGGCCACACGGTGTTTGATTTGAGACATTTACGGTAAATATGGAGCTAATGTTTAGCTGGGAGAATTTTAGCATATAAGCTAATAATATGTACAGTGTTGGTTTAATGGACGCTCTCTGTTTAGGAAGTTTTCCGGATCAGGATATCGTTGAATGTTGACTCGCGGTTTGGCCCATTTTACTGGGTAAACATTGGTGATTGGTAAATGAGAATGGTGCTTAAAACGAGGTTTTTTGGTAAGTGCGGGTAGCATGGTTGTGTTGAACTTTTGTTTTCCGACCCATAGAGGCCAGTAGAAGACCGTGTGGATTGTACATCAACAAGCATGGAGTTCCCGCAACAGCAGAAACCGGCGGGGGACGGAAAGATCACCTACCCTCCTGGAGTAAAAGAGATCACGGATAAAATCAGCAACGATGAGATGGTCAAGCGATTGAAGGTATGTTGATGAGGTTTCTTGCTCTCACCATAGGTTTACTCAAAGCCCACACGCCTGATCTATCAGTGTCCAGCCCCTGGCACTGTACCAAACCCCGCTAACTTTGTCAATTATACGGTATTAAGTCATAAAAGGGCCCCAGGCTTATGGTAGCCTGCTTTTCCATTCCTCTGCTTTCTATCAGTCTGCACAGCAACACTCAGAATCACATTATCACTAAAACAGTATTATGTTATCCAACATGAGTTTGACATGATTCACAACAAGAAATAGAAGCCTCCATAAGTCAAAGGCTGGAAAAATGGTCTTTCCCAAAATGTGATGTAAAAACAATAAGCAATCATTGAACAGTTGAGCTACTTTTACTACATGATATCAAAACAATGACTCACAAGGAGATATGGAAGGAAACATGTACAGTCTAGGAGTTGATGATATCTACTATAGTTGAACTCAAGTAGTAAGAGGAGGACTAAAATCAGTTAAGTCTGTAACATATTTAGAGGTAGAATCTAAAAAATGAGTGAGCAGAGAAAATATGACCAGGTCATGACTAGGTCATGCGGGGGGTGATGAATCATATGTTATGGCCTATACAGTCATCAGATCTTAATCCAATTGGAAAACCTAAAGGAGTTTGTTTATTGAAAATTCACTAAAATGTTGACAAAATGCCCCATGAAGCTAACTCCAGGTCCAGCGCCCTAAATTCAATCTGCACCAAAGCCACTGTGTTCTTCCTTGGCTAACACACCCACCTGATTACATAAAATTCGCTTGTTCGTTTTTGCGTCATTCATATGACAAACAAGTGAGTAGGCCAACTTTATCAGCTGATATTTGCTAATTCCAGGTATATTGTTTTTTGCACGTGTTGTCAGATGTGCACTGTTACAATATTCTCAGCAGTGTTTGCTGCACGTTAAGCAGAATAACATGACAGCTGAGCAGGTCATAGTCAAGAGGTGTCATCACGTTAAGTTGCTAACTAGTTTGTGGAAACTTAACTATTGAAAATTTCAGATTTTTTTCCACTGCACAAAATCAGTACCTGCATATGTCCATATTCCTATGAATTGTGATATAGACATCAACCATATCATCCAACCCTTCTCTAGATTATAAAAAAGTATTTATTCATACATTCAGCAGTTACAGAGGAACTTTACTATTCATTTCAAATTGTCTTTCTGGGCTTCTGTATAGCTTACTTAGTTGGGAAATGTCTTGCTATCTCTATCTTTTAGCTGCTAAATGCTCCACTATTTTTATCAGCTCGGCCCTGTTCAGACCTGGTGTTATCATTTGTCTTGAGTTTTCCAACCACAAATGGACAGCTCTCAGTATAAGTGTGCATGCACCTGAGACAAATTGAGGACGCATTTGAGATCAGATCAGTCAGACAACATATCGAGGTGGTCTGTGACACATGAGAAGACATTGGCTAGACACACCTGTCCTGAGAGATCTGATCACACCTGTCCAGCATTAAGTACGTGTGTTCACATCTGCCATTCAAATGTGTCTCCTGTGACCGCTTGTTATTGGAACTCGCTTCCCTGCTCTACATGCAAATTAACACGTATATCATTTGTGTTAGTTAAAACCACTGTAGTGTGCCAGTCTGAGTTTACAGATATGTCCGGTGTGTGTGTAGAGTCACTAGAGACTGAATGAATCACGTGCAGATGTGCCAATTTAAGGAAAATATTGATCATTATGTGTTTTGTATTGTTACTGATACAATTGACCACAGGCCCATCTGTATTGAAGGACCAATTAAAAATGGCATTGTTTGGTCTTTGTGTACAGAAATTACATACATGCTTATTTGCATACAGAGCAGGGAAGCAAGATCTGATCACTAGTGTTCACTAAAGATGCATTCTAATGCCAGCTTTAAACAGATGAACCAAGAGCTGACCAGATCTCTCAATACGCATTTTAATACCACTTCGGAACATGGACCCGTTCTCCAACTACTGTATGTCCTTTGGCCATTTAATGCTGGCAAGACAGTTTACAATGTGTTCACTTGAAATACTGACACTATGAAAGTGATGAGAGTGAACCAGCTCAGAGGGGAACTGTAGAATAAGGTGATAATTCTCTCCAAGTTAATTTACCATACCTAAGTTGGTCTATTGTGCACATAGGACATTTGTCATGTCTGTCTGTCCAAAGAAGAGGAATCCCTCCTCTAAGGCTCTTCCTGAATTGTTGGAATTAGGCTACAACAGAGTTTTGGTACTCCTGAGGTGAGGTTCATAGTATAGATGTGGGCAATCACTATTTGCTGCGTGCCTACTTGCACGATCTTGCTATCGTCCGTAAATCATCCGTAAATC